GGACACTGCCTGATGAGAGGCCTGATACCACTAGATCCATCTTCTGTGTGTTCCAACCCAGGAGACACTATGAGACAGGAGGATCACTATGACCCGCCTAGGACCCGGCAGAGAAGTTCTGCTGGGGACAGTCCCCTTTCTCCTTCTGACCTCAGGGAGCCTGGATAATTCCCACCAGCACTGGTAGCATGAAGCCCTGGGTGACCGAACGAGAGAAGCTGAGCGGTGTCTCTCTACAGAAGGGACCCAGCTAATCAGTGCAGAAGGAAAGGTGGGAGAGCACCAGCATCCAGGGAAGTAACTGGTCCAGGCGCTGAGGGTCAGCTGCAGCTGGCGGCACACCAGGAAGCCGCTAGACGTGACAACCTGTGAGGGGAGAGCACACCTTCTGGGAGCGAGTCACAGCCCCCAGTTCAAATCTCAATCTGATCATGCCTCTCGGCCTTCGGTCCGTCATGGTGGACCTGCGGCAGGAGTGCTCAGCCGGCTGCACACCACCCCACTCTAGCTCCGACTATCAAATGACAGGAGATAGAAAAGATTGGAATGTGTCACAAGACATCACAGATTTGTAGTCATCAAAATCTGGATGCAGCCGTGGACATAGCTCAGTGGCTCAAGCGCCTGCCTGGCAAGTGCAAGGTCCTGAGTTTGCTTCCTGCTACTGGGAAACAAAGGAAAAAACAATCACTGAAAATCCAGATGTGTGGGCTGGAGAGATGGCTCAGTGGTCTAAAGCACCTACTTAGAACAAGCTTAGCAAAGCATCAGGGACCGCGGTTCGATCCCCCAGCACCACATGCCAGCCAGCCCCGCCCCCTGGTGGGCTGAGCTGGCCACACACACCACACACTCTCTCTCTCTCTCTCTCTCTCTCTCTCTCTCTCTCAAAAAATAAAAAAAAAATTAAAAAAAAAATCCAGATGTGTACCATCTCTAAGATCCACGATATGGCCACTTCAACGACCAATTGGAAGGAAAAAGAATGAAAGATGATTTCAGGGACAGCAGCCAATCACAACGTGCTTGTCCCCTTTAGATCTTGACTCAGTGAAACTGACTTAAAAAAAATCATTTATTTATTTATTTGGTACAGGGTCTCGCTATGCAGCTTGGACTCATAGTGATCCTCCTGTCTCAGCCTCTCCAGTTCTGGGATTACACATGGGCACCACCATACCCAGTTTCGGAGGTTGGCATGGCATGCGGTACCAGGGATGGAACCAGGGTCCTTGCGCTTGCCAGGCAGGTGCTTAGACTGCTGAGCTATCTCCCCAGCCCCTGAATCTTTAAGCGAAACTTACAAATATTCTTGGAAAAAAAAATTGGAAGTCTGAATGCTGACTGAATATGTGATTAGTATTTGCTGTGAGTGTGTAGGCCTGGGCCGAGACGCTTCACCTGCCCAGACTTTGTTCTTCCCGTCCACAAAATGGGCCCTACCTCAGCTCCTTTCACTGTCTTCCCACCGAAGCCTGGGGCATCTTGACTTAGTGCCTGTGTCTGCCCTGCTGTGTGTCCACAGAGGGTAGAATGGGCAGGAGAGGGCATGGTGGGCACCAGCCAAGGCCCTTGGTTTCTCCAGAGTGAGGACAGGAGGGCCCGCCTCCCTATACGATCGCAGCTGGGCTTGTCCCCAGAGCAGGACCCGTGGCCTTGCTCTGACACTGGGGACTTCTGACGAGCTGCCTGGGCCTGCGCGTGTCTTCTTCGCTGCGCCTGGACGCACTCCTTTTCTCTGGACTGCTGCGTGGCTCTGCCCTTCAATGCCTTGCCCCTGGCTTCAGCCCAATTGCCCTTCCAGTATGATCACAGCTCAAGTCTCAGCCTCAGCAGGAGCTCCCTGCGTTGTAAGTGCTCCTCACGGGAGGGCACGGAGGTGGGGCGGGCCCCTCCTGCCTGAACCGTCCTGTGTGCGTACCACTCTCTGGAAGAGTCACCAGCTTTATCTTCAGACGGCTAAGCCGAAGTACCCACCATCTGCTTCCAAGGCCTGGAAGTTTAACACAGGAACTGAAGCTG